GCCACTAAGATCACCTTCAAGCATTTTTAAGACTTCTCGCATTGAAGAACGATCCTCAGGTGTCATTTGTGTGCACCATAATGCAATCAAAATCAATCTTCTACTAATTGATTTTTCTTCTTCAGTTGCATGATCTCCAATTTCCAATTCCTCCCCTCAATCAAATTTATCGTATATCCAGGACGGGAAGTATATTTGACTCGAATGTTCTACATGTCCATTACCATTTCTTTTCCTTCCTGCCATCTCCATTAGCAACATTCCATAGCTGTAAACGTCTGCCTTGTCTGAGACTCTTCAAATATTTTTGTAGAACAATTCTGGAGCCATGTAACCTAATGTTCCTCTGACAATTGTAAGACTTGAAACACTCTTTTGCATCGGGTAAAGTTTTGCGAGTCCAAAGTCTGCAACTTTTGGAACAAAGTTCTCATCAAGTAAGATGTTATGTGGCTTAATATCAAAATGCAGAATTTGCATATTGCACCCCTGATGCAAGTATTCAATCCCATGAGCAACTCCTTTCGCAATCTCACAAGTTTGCTTCCAACTCAATGGATGACCATTTTGACTATCTGAGAAAATTAACTTATCCAGAGAGCCATTCGGCATGTAATCATATACTAGGGCATGTTTCGAGGGAGCAACACAAAATCCTACCAACCGAACCACGTTCACATGGTGAATTTGTCCAATAGTTGCGACTTCATTAATGAACTCTTGCCCATTAGCTTTTGATTTGTTCAGCATCTTGACAGCAACTACATCTCCACTCCGCAGTTTTCCTTTGTAAACCAAACCATAGCCTCCTCCACCTAATTTCTCCTTAAAGTTGTTTGTCATTGCCCTTATGTGTTTGTATGAATACCTAATGGGTATGAGGCCGTTGTTTGTTTGTAGGAAATCTTCTATTGTATCATACCTGGATAAATGCCTCCGATGACACCTATAAAGGAGAAAAACACACAAGAGGGCAATGCCAATGACACTTTTTGCTGCAATGAGCAGAACTGAAATAGAAGAAAGAAACATTTATCAGTGATTTACTCTGTATCATACACCCAATAGTGAGTTATCAACTATAAATCAAATACCTTACCAAAAAATTTGACAGCAAAACCCACGCCAGTTGCTTATTACAAAAATTCAAAGGATTATTAAGGAAAAATTGAAACGGAAAGGATGAGACTGGCTGAAAAAATCATTTCTGTATATTTTAAGAATAAGTGACTCACTCCCAAACTTGACATGATTGTAGAATGGTGCTACCAGAAGACCTGCATTGTCCAGGAACAAAGATCAAGATTAATGTCCAATTGCATTCTTGAACTTCAACTTTTAACAGAGCTTCAAATGCTAGAAGAAAAAATTCAATGCACATTAATCAATTGTACAATTTTCAAATCGAGAGCAAAATCTCAGAGATCCTAAATTTACACCTTCACAATCTAAATCAACACCGTCAATGCATTAATCAAGTGCACTATGATAGTAAGACTTGTATAAAGTGAGAAAGATAGAGAAGTTTGGATTTGGCTTTTGAGATCAACAGCAGAACTACTGTACTTGTTAGCCTACAAATATACCACTCCATTTCCTAACTTAAATCTTTCAAGATACGGTAACTTGTCATTAAATTCCCAAAAACATAGTTTCATTCAGTAGAATTTAATACTTTCCAAGAGATCATCGTAACCAATTATCAATCACCGAAATGGACAACCTTCAACCTTTCTGGGTAAGTAAGAATTTATTAATACCCAAGAAGAAAGTAACATACAAGGCAGGTCTGCAAAGTTAGTGTACTTATAAAGAATTGATCTCCGCAGTGTCGACCTTGTTGACAAACTGAGCTCAAACCCATTAGCCAGAGCATTGTGGATGTCTTGAAACGAAATATCTCCTGTTACCTTAGGTAGACACCGAAGGTCTGCACGAACTATTTTATGGATTGTGCACGACTCTTCAATATCGGATGCGACCACATTTTTACCAATCACAACATAACTGTAATAATCAGATTGAGCATTCATTTTTGACAAATGATTTGCAGTGATATTACAAGAAGCAGTGTCTATATAAAGAGGAGATTTCGATTCCACTGGATTTTTACAGCTGAGAAAGACCAATTCACTGGTGTCGGGATCAATATCCACGAATCGTCCATAACGGATATCCCCAACTTGCTTTTCATAGGTGTATTCATCAAATGAGTAAATTGGAAGAGTAGAACAGTTGTCCTTTTGCACTCCAGGATCAAATATACGAAGTGTTTGTTTCCTGGAGTCAATGCTGTCTATATCTGCATAAAAGCGCTGTTCCTCCCCATCAACATCCGTTGTTAAGGGAAGTACTGTGCGATTATGGTCACAAGAGAACTCCAAAGCATCAGGGCACAAATCTGCATGATCACCTTTGAACTGAAACGGGCACTTTAAACTGACATCAGTGTCTCTGCAAGAAGATGGGCTATGGTCACAACCGGTGTGTTTGGAATTGAAGGTATGATAACCATTTGCGTAACAATGGCTATCGACAATAGTATCAAATCTGAATCGGGATACCAAAAAGTAAATCAAGATCAGGGACAACAAAACTACCAAAATCTGAACTTGCAACATGCTATTAATGGGTTGACTGAAAATAGCCGGATATGCAGAAGGTGCTGCTTGGCAAGTAAGGTTTTAGAGCAAATGAATGCACTTTAACTAAATTTTAACCTCCTTTCCCGGTAAAGATTTAAGGGAATCCAATCTAAACTTGACTGCTGCAGTTGTTTATTAAGAAAAACTTTTCCATTAACCTCAATGGACTTTGGACTAGCCACCACAATTTAGACTTTTCATTCTTTCATTTTCTTTTTTCAGTCTTTGTTAAGGGAGTCCAATCTAAGCTTCTGTTATGTGGAAGGCAGTCCAATCTAGACTTCAGCACTTACTTGGTAGTTATTATCATTAATACTTTTGATGACAATTAAAACTTGCAGTTTATGAAAATTAAAAATCCCCTCCCCTAGTGGTTCTAGGAGGGAGGAGGGTGGGTTGCGGGGAAGGGGGGAGGGGGGAGGGGAGAGGAGGAAGAGAGAGGGAGGGAGGCAGGAGGAGGAAAGTGGAAGGAGAAGAGAGAGAAGGGGGGGACCGGCTAGTGGTATAACCGTTCTTGAACGGTGTAAAACCTTCTTACCAAATAACCGTTCTTGACGTCTCTAATGGGTCTTTTGCTTATTTGTTATTTTGTTGGTTGTTTTAGTGGGACCATGAGATGATTTTAGAAATTTTGCGAGGAAATGATTAGTTGATAAAATACTATGATCTTATTTTAGACTTGGAATCTTAATCAAAAGTGAAATGGGAAAATGAGTGAAAATCTTGAAATTTGGATCAATTCTTATTAATATTTTGAGATGGCGGCTTTGAGTATGTAAGTCCCACAGTTTGGAGCTTGGTGATGGGCTCCAGTGTCAGGCCGATTCGTTCCTAGTTCCAATTTCTTCATTTCCCTGTTCTAGGTCCGAAAATATTTCTCGTGCTCTTGTCAGTACGGGACTGAATTGTAATTGAAATATTGATAATTTACTCCATTATTAACAATTAGAAATTAAATTAGGCTCTCGCTTTCATAGGCACGAAAGACGTGTATTACAGGAATTACCTAAGCTAAGTTAGGTATTGATTCATTTTCACTAAGGTAAGCAGTTTTAACACTCTTTAATGAATAAAATAGTTTTAAATGCCTATGTTAATATGAAATTCAGCATGAGTAGAGATAAGAATGTATATGAATATTTATGGAATTTAGATGCTACATTTGTTTCGCACTTTGAACTCATGATTTCTTGTTTACTGTCATTAGAACTAATTAGTTCTATATTTTTGTCTGTCTGATCTACCTAGCGGGAAATGCTGGCCTCGCTATAGGGTAACAAAATGTCATGATCACAAGGTACTTCGTGAGGGCAACAAGTGCTTAATGTCCTTTGCTCCTGAGCTGAGACATTTGTTTTAAGAGTACTCCTAAGCCCTTCATTTTCAACCCTAATATGTCACCTCTTTCTCTAAGGTCAAAACTTTCTTAATATCAAGAAAGTTTATCAGAACAACTGAAGTTTCGATCCTTTTAGAACGGTTTATCATTACAACACAAGTAGTTTCCTATCCCCAACAAATCGAGTTTCGTCTCCAAAGCTTAGGCACAATGACTGACATTTTGTAATCAAATCATATGAACACTGAAACAATGATAGTAGCAATCAATAACAGTTAACATATCCATAATTCAAGAGAAGGTGCCAATGGTTGTTACTTAGGCTCTGTTTGATAATCTCATTCAGTACTGAAATTTAATAGATTTAGATTTTAACATGTTCAGACGCGTTTATTGAAAAATTGAAGTTTAGATCTTTTCAGAACAGTTTATCATTATGACACAAAGTAGCTCCCTATGGCCAGCAATTCCATTTTCCTCTCCACTCCCCTTGAAAGCAATGACTGACTTTTGTAATCAAATCATATGAACTCAGAGACAATGACAGTAGCAATCAATAACAGTTAACCTATCCATAATTCAAGAGAAGGTGCCAATGGTTGTGCTTAATGTCGTGATGCTTCTTACGTACTTGAATTCTTCAACACGACAAAACCTCAACCTAAGTTACTGAACCATCAAGAAGGAGGTACAAGAAGAAATACTAGTTCTCTTCTTCATGATTATTTGAAATGTATATCAGCTAGACCGTGAAGCATTCGCCTCCACTTACTCAAGCAGGCAGTCTCCAGGAAATGTCTTATTCTCCACGTTGATGAAAAGGAATGACATGTTTCAGAGGAAAAATCCAAGGATAAGGAAAAATGGCTACAACGCTATAAACTAACAATTTGACTAGTAGCAGCAACACTATTGGAAAGGATTGATCTTACAAATTTGGAGGAAATATTTAGATATGTTGCTCGCTTTTTTAGATAACATAATAGTTTAAGAAAAAAATATGTGTTGGAGCTCAATTGTAGAAATTATTATGTTAAACTCAAAGATTGATGCTGGTATTACTATTACATACGAAGCATATATCAAGGTGCTACCCTTCAGTTTATTGATACCAAACTGATATTTCAGTTTGCCATGTTATCTAGTACTAGGTGGCATATTTTAAGAGTTTGAAAGACAAATCCACGAGACAAAGATTTCACTGAAAGCACGAGTTCTACTTAGTCATCCATCTGCTCTATTTCTAAAGCAACAGAGCTACATAGGGGTGCCGTTGACTCGTCAGAAGAACTACTATTGCTGCTTCTTTGCATGGATATGGGTGAATCTGGAGAGTAAAACGACGGTTTAGGAGGCAACTTTAGGCCACTAGCATCACCTTCAAGCATTTCTAAGACTTCTCTCATTGAAGGACGATCCTCAGGTGTCATCTGTATGCACCACAAAGCAATCAAAATCAATTTTCTTGTAAACATCTTTTCTTCTTCAGTTGCATGATCTCCGATTTCCATTTCCTCCACCTGATCGAATTTGTCATATATCCATGAAGGGAAGTATATTTGACTAGAATGCTCAGCATGAGCATCCACATTTCTCCTCCTTCCTGCCATCTCCATTAGTAACTTTCCATAGCTGTAAACGTCTGTCTTATGTGAGACTCTTCCAATCTTTTTATAGAACAACTCCGGGGCCATGTAACCTAAAGTTCCTCTCACAGCAGTAAGAGTTGCAATACTCTTTTGCATCGGGTAAAGTTTTGCAAGTCCAAAGTCCGAAACTTTTGGAACAAAATTCTCATCAAGTAAGACGTTATGCGGTTTAATATCAAAATGCAGAATTTGCATATCACACCCCTGATGCAAGTACTCTATCCCACGAGCAACCCCCTTTGCAATCTCGCAAACTTGCTTCCAACTTAATGGAGAACCATTCTGACAATTTGAGAAAATTAACTTATCCAGAGAGCCATTTAGCATGTAATCATACACTAGAGCATGTTTTGAGGCAGTAACACAAAATCCCACTAACCGAACCACGTTCACATGGTGTATTCTTCCAATAGTCGCAACTTCATTGATGAACTCTTGCCCATTAGCTTTTGATTTCCTCAGCATCTTGACAGCAACTGCACCTCCACTGCGCAGTTTTCCTTTGTAAACCAAACCATAGCCTCCTTCACCTAGTTTCTCCTCAAAATTTTTTGTCATTGTCTTGATTTCTTTGTATGAGTACCTAATGGGCATGAGGCTGTTGTTTGCTTGTAGGAAATCTTCTATTGTATCATACCTCGATAAATGCCTCCGACGATACCGATAAAGGAGGAAAGCAGACAAGAGGATAATGCCAAAGACATGTTTTGCTGCAATAAGCACAACTGAAATAGAAGAACAAAACAGTGATTGACTGACTTCTAGTGTATATTCCAATAGACAGAGTTTTCAACTACAAATCAGATGCCTTACCCGAAACTAAGCCAATTCCAAAGCAATCTGCTTATAAAAGAAAACTTAAAGGATTATAATGGAAATATTGAAATAGAAAGAATCAGATTGATTAAAGAATGATTTTTCTGTAAATCAAAGAAACCAGGTTACTCACTTTTACATACATATGGGCCGATGACATGTCCGTAGACGAATTCGGAGATTTCTGTCCATATGAGAAGCACATCGCCTAAGTACAAAAGTCAACATTAATGTCCAATTGGATGCTTGAAAATCAACTTTTATTAATTGCAGCTATTTCACACTCATGTGCGTACAAGTTTCAAATTACCACGACAATTAAAAAAAAAATAGTTTCAAATAAATTCAAAGTATGTTTGTTTTGCATGGTTCAAAGTGAAAATTCAATAATTGATATGTTTGTTGGGATCATAAAACAAATAAGCTTTTTCAAAAAGTCAACCCATCCTCCTGTCTAAAATCCCACTATTCTAATTTGACTATGTTCCTATATATTTTTGTTTGCTAAAAAAGATTTGCAGCAACAGATAAAGACAAAATAGCAGTTTCTGGTATTCTGATTCCCCAAAACAAAAAAAGTCACATCATCAGTTTCTGAATTAAACAGATGATCTACAGGGAATGATGCGGTTGTGTACTGTTATTGTATTTCTTCCATATTTTGCTGTACATTTACATACTGTATTTTATTAGTTGCTATTGATTGGGACATCAAATGTTATAAGAACTAAACAAAAAAGTGCCTGCCCCACGTTCGACTTAACAAGAAAATAAGATCTTAATAAAAGTGCCCTAATTCTTTTCAGTTAAAGCCATATGTAAAGAAATCAAGGATAAGCATTTATTAGAGAACAAGGAATCTTACTCAAAGTACTGATATTTGGTGATGCAATTCGTTACATGAATGATGTATCAAATACAAATTAAGAAATCTACTTGAAGCTGGAAAATGAAAGGAACTTTACCAACTAAAGAAATCCAGGATAAGCATTTATTTGGTTGTTCTATAATTTTTTTAAAAAAAAAGAAAGAAAGAAAGATGAACATAATTTATTTAGCCCCAAATGTACCACTTCACATCTTAACTTAAAATCTTCCAATATACGGTAATTTGCAATTAATTTCCCAAAAACATCGTTTCAAGCAGTAGTACTGAATAAGTACTTTTTAAAAGATCACCATAATCAATCATCAATTACAATGTTAATAAATCTTCAAATCAGTGTACTTACATAAAAAGGATCTACTCCTCGTACCACCTCCGTACCACCAACTGAGCTCAAGGCCATTAGACAGAAGATTGTGGATGTCTTGAAACGAAATATCTCCTGCTGTTACATTAGGGAGATGCTGCAGGTCTACTGGAAGTATCTTATAGACAGTGCACGACTCTTCAATGTCAGATGCCACCACACTTTCACCCACCACAACATAGCTGTAATAATTGGACGGAGCTTTCGTTTTTGAAAAATGATTTGCAGTGATATTACAGGAAGCAGTGTCTACATAAAGAGGGGCATATTTCGATTTCACCGGATTTTTACAGCTCACAAAGACCAACGAACCACTATCGGGAGCAATCTCCACAGGAAAGTGGTTGTATGGATTTTGATAGTAATAGTGGTATGGGCTCAATGGGTAGAGTGGCAGAGTAGAACAGTTGTTCTTTTGCACCCCAGGATCAAATATACGAAGTGTCCGTTTCTCATAATCAATACTGCTTAGCTCCACAGAAAAGTTATACTGTTGTATCTCCGGACTGGAACCAACACTCAAGGATAGAACAGTGCGATTATTTTCACAAGAGAATTCAATAACACGACGTTTAGGGCACAAATCTGGATCATCACCACTAAATTGAAACGGGCACTTTAAATTGATGGCGGTGCCCCCGCAAGTGGATGGGCTCCGGTCACTGCTGGTGTCTTTGGAATGGTAAAAACTACCATATCTCCGACAATGGGTATATAAAAAATCAGCACCAGGTGTGTTATCCAGCACCAAGTAGCAAATCGAGATTAGAGACGACAAAACTACCAAAATCTGAAGTTGAAGCATACTTCTTAAACACCGGCCGAGTGAATTAAAAAAAAAAAGATGCCGGAAACGGAGAAGGGGCTCTTTACTTGGCAAAGAGAATAGGACCTGAGGTCTCAAATAGGCCTTATTAATTTACTGAATATCTCTTTCAGAACTAGGCCTGATCAGCAGCATGTGGTCCTGAAGAGACGAAGACTCATGGAGTGGACTTCACCAATTGGCATGTTATTACATGGCCCAGATTGATATATTCAAAACATTTTTCGTGGAAAAAAAAAGGGATTAACTAAAGCGATTTGGCACCAGAGCAGGAACTCACATTAACACGGTTCAACATATATATTAATGTACAGCCATCATTTGATGATTAATTATAATTTTCTTCTTTAATTTGATACTTTAACCTATCCGGAAAACTTGCCACTGAACTCATTAATGAGTTCATTAAACATAAACAACAGACTTCTGAAACTAATTGATTCCGACAAGGGCAAATAAAACATTTTTGCATAAGTTGAATTGCCTGTCTTACGAATGGACAATGTGCTAAGTTCAGGGCTAGTATACCAACAGTGAAATTAACATATTTACAGTGAATTTAGTCTATTGCTATACCAACAGATCCATATTTATAGTGGCTTCGTCGAGTCATAAACACAAACTCCAAACTCTTACATGTACAAATTGGGTATAATTTATCTGTGAGTTCTACCAACTTTCGTGGTGTCTTCCAAGATTGTACAATGTAATTCTGTATTGTGTCCATGTCCACTGTCTGTAAATGGTTTGAGAAATCAAGCATAATCTGTTACTATAGTTCCATGGTCCCTAAAAGACAAGTCCCTTGGACTTTGCTTTGAAGAAGCTGGTTAACAAAAATTGACTGTCATCAACTTTTATAAATCAATTCCAATTACCAAGTCAAATCCTTCCCTAACCAGTCGTAGTTATAAATTTAAAAGAAAAAAGGTCTAATCAACAGAAACTGTTGTGAATGTTTACTTCCAAATGCTAACTCGATAATAACTAGAAACTATTGTTGCACTAGTTACTTTGTGATGTATTATAACTCCGTTTGGATTGACCATTTTTTCAAAAACAAGTTTTTCAAATATAATGTTACGATAATACATAATAACTCAAAAAACATCTCATTCATACAATATATCAAATATTTCAAAAAAATTTTATAGTAAAAATTTTTCATATACATTGCTATAGTAAAATTTTTTAAAAACACCCTCCAAAACAGCTAATCCTACTCTAAAGGAAATGAAGGAAGTGCAGAAAAAAAAAAACTCGTCAAAGTAGAATATGAGCTAAGGTCAGTCAATGGTCGACTGTTGCAATTCACACAAGACCAGCTCTCTCTTTTTTTCTCCTTAGCCCACCATTACAAGTCATTCTCAAAGCAATTTCCTGACAGATTCAAAACACAACTTATGGAAAACAGAGTCAGGCGTAGACTTGACTCCACACTATTTATCTATACAAAGAAAATTGCTCTTTCCATCAAACCTGAATTATAGTGATACAATCACTTTACTACATTGTTATTATCACTTTATCCCTTTAATTATAGTGATACAATCGCTTTACTCCCTAATATTATTTTCTAAACGTTTTACCCCATCGTTAATCTAACCAGTATGTTCAAAAATTTTTAAATGTATTTACCACTTTTTTGTATATAATTAAAAATAAAAAAAGTTGGAATGGTTATTCTTCCTTTTTTTCACTCTAAGAGTTTAAAAAACACAAAAATTAAAGAGTTTTCTTAAATTTCTTTTTTCACACTTATTCATACTAGGAAAAAAAAAGAGATAGGAGGGAAAGAAACAAAAAAAATTAGATTTTGCAAAGAAACAAAATAAGGAAGAATCTAATATTATCATATTACTTTAACATCATCGGGATTAGGATTGGAATTGGGTGGTAGACTAAAAAGCAAAGTAATTTTAAAATAATAAAAACATTGAATTCTTTCTTATTTGTATTTAAAAAAAAAAAAGAATTGAGTTCTCTCCCTTTCTCTGCCCCCTATCTTTCTAATTTTTTTTCAATATTAACAAGATTGCCAAGACGAAAGAAATTAATGTTTTAACTTTTTTTTTCTTGATACTAAAAAGATGAAGAGGCACTCTAAATTTTTTATTATTTTTATTATACAAAGAGGAGGCTACTTTCTTCTAAAAATTTTAACTTCCTAAATTGGTTTAATAGCGGAATAAATTATCTGAAAAATAACTTTAGCGGGTAGATTGATATTGAGGCTATAGTTTTATGGGGGGTAAAGTGATAATAATTTTAAGGGCTAAACATGTATTTTCACTTCAATTAACAGACTCCATTAAGTTTGACCATTAGTTTTGAGAATAAAGTGACTAAAAAGTAATGTTCAGAGAAAAATTCATAGTAGCACCAAACATTAAGGGGTAAAGTGATAATAACCCTCAACTACTAGATTTATTAAGCAGTTATTCAAGTAGTTAGTCTAGACTATAATAAAATTTTTCATAAGTAATAGAGTCTATTACTGCCTACCGCAGTTAAGGTTCTTTGCCAATTAAATTTGCAAAAAAAAGTTCATTACGGAGGGAGATTTACAATCAACAATAAATGGCTGAGAGCTATGAGCTGGTATTACGATGATATTATATTTCACTTGCCATAGCACTAGGAGTGTCAATAGTGCCGAATCAAACCACTGAGCTTAGCTCGGTGGTCAACAGGGAGGGACTCCTTGGGCTATAGGTGGAGAGTTCAAACTTTACCTGCAGCAAAAAAAAAAAAAAAAATCCAAGGGAGTGCCATAGCACCCTCTTGGTCTAGTCAGATCTGCATACCTACTAGTCTCTGACACACAAGTCTCCTTAGGCTCCCCCTCCCTGTAGTGAGTTGATCTTAGGCAATCCAAGCCCAGCCATATCAGCTTGGCGGGTTAAGAAATCTAAAAGTTTTCAAAGTGAGCCAAGTTTAGGCTATGAAAGGTTCAGCCATGTCTAGTCTCGGCCCACTTTGATATGTTCAACATTTTGTTGATGTATGCATTTCTTTAGCTAAATCCTATAGTAATTTGTACATCTATAGGCGGTAAGGTAGCACATAAAGGACATATATCAATGTAAGATAGTCATATAAAATTCAACTTAATATAGCTGGAGGAGTGAGTGTAAGTGAGAGATTTCGAATTCGATACATTCCACTTACACTTAAAAAAAAAATTTAATCAGGCCAATTGTAATAAAAAATTTTATTTAAAGCTTTTCATTTAGTGATGTATTTTAATCCATTAGTAGATCAATTAGAGTAAATACTATATTTTCTCATTGCATCATTGAAATTATGAGAGATTGCTTGTTAAATCCATAAAATTAATGAAATTTCAAATTTAACGATTGTAAAGCATAAGTGAACTTGGACCAGCTCAAATTCACCATGTTGATGAAAAGGAAAGACACGTTTCGAAGGAAAAATCCAAGGACAAAGACAAACGGCTACAAGGCTATGTTAAACTAACAATTTGACTAGTAATAGCAACACCACTGCAAAAGATCGATCTCATGAATTTGCCAGAAATACTTAGATATACTGCTCGCTGTGTTAGATAACATAATAGTTTAAGAAAAAAAAATATGTACTGGAGCTCAATTGTAGAAATTATTAAGTTAAACTGAAGGACAAATCCACCACACAGCTTTCACTGAAAGTACTACTTAGTCATCCATCTGCTCTATTTCTAAAGCAACAGAGCTACAGAGGGGTGCCGTTGACTCGTCAGAAGAACTACTATCGCTGCTTCTTTGCATGGATATGGGTGAATCTGGAGGGTAAAACGACGGTTTAGGAGGCAATCTTAGACCACTAGCATCACCTTCAAGCATTTCTAAGACTTCTCTCATTGAAGGACGATCCTCAGGTGTCATCTGCATGCACCACAAGGCAATCAAAATTAATTTCGTGTAATTGTCTTTTCTTCTTCAGTTGCATGATCTCCAATTTCCATTTCCTCCACCTGATCGAATTTGTCATATATCCATGATGGGAAGTATATTTGACTTGAATGCTCAGCATGTGCATCCACATTTCTCCTCCTCCCAGGCATCTCCATTAGTAACATTCCATAGCTGTAAACGTCTGCCTTGTGTGAGACTCTTCCAATCCTTTTGTAGAACAACTCCGGGGCCATGTAACCTAAAGTTCCTCTCACAGCAGTAAGAGTTGCAATACTCCTTTGCATCGGGTAAAGTTTTGCAAGTCCAAAGTCTGAAACTTTTGGAACAAAGTTCTCATCAAGTAAGACGTTATGCGGTTTAATATCAAAATGCAGAATTTGCATATCACACCCCTGATGCAAGTATTCAATGCCACGAGCAACCCCCTTTGCAATCTCACAAACTTGTTTCCAACTCAATGGAGAACTATTTTGATAGTCTGAGAAAATTAACTTATCCAGAGAGCCATTTGGCATGTAATCATACACTAGAGCATGTTTTGAGGCAGTAACACAAAATCCCACTAACCGAACCACGTTCACATGGTGTATTCTTCCAATAGTTGCAACTTCATTGATGAACTCTTGACCAGTAGCTTTTGACTTGTTCAACATTTTGACAGCAACATCATCTCCACTGCGCAATTTGCCTTTGTAAACCATGCCGTAGCCTCCTTCGCCTAGTTTTTCTTTAAAATTTTTCGTCATTGTCCTGATTTCTCTATATGAGTACCTAATGGGCATGAGTCTGCTGTTTGTTTGTAGGAAATCTTCTATTATATCATACCTCGATAAATGCCTCCGATGCCACCTATAAAGCAGGAACGCAGACAAGATGGCAATGCCAAGGACACTTTTTGCCGTAATGAAAGAAAAAAGGTTATAATGGAAATACGGAATTAGAAAGAATCCGACTGATTAAGAATGGTTTTTTTGCACACGAAAGAAACAAGTTTACTCACTTCCGAATGTGTCAACGCGGTCGAGGATTGCTACTACTAGGGGACCTACATCGCCCAAGGAGAAAAGTCAAAGTCAATGTCCAATTGGATACTTGAAAATGAACTTTTATTAATTACTATTAATTCACCCTCATGTGTGTACCAGTTTCAAATCACTACGAGAATAAATTCAAA